CAGCGATCGCATCTTCTTCCTCAGAAGGGTAAATATTCTCGTGACCTACGAAAACTATAACCTTTCCATTGGCCTTACATTTAATTTTAACCCTGACCTCGACCAGGACACAAAATCTCAACCTTAACCCTAATTGGGTATTATCGCACGTTCTTTCTGTGTGGCGAAAAAAGCACTGTTTGGAGTTGATTTAGTGTCCCTGCTGGCATTTTTTATCCATGAAAAATCGGGTGTGGCGTGAACAAATGTTCATGTTCCGAAGTTGACGCCCGCCAACAAAATATGTTGGAACTCCTGCTCCAAATGCAACAGGAATTAACTGAGAAGTTCTTGGACAGTAAGATTATTCTGTCAACAGATTACTATGCATGTTTGTGACCTGAGAAGATATCAAGGTTAATATTGTAATTCTTGAGCTGCTTGTTTAATACGGCAATGCAATCACCCTTTCTGGGCTATGATATAATGGGTTATTGCACACTTACAGAACTCTTCTCGAAGGCGCTGCACTTAGAGCCGTTGAACTGGTAGGCCGTTGCACCCAGGTCCAGAATGAAGACGTCACCAGAATCAACGGCACTCTTGGTATACTCCACCTGTCGCATGTAAGTGATCTTGCCCTCCTTGCAGAAACGCAGAAGACGTGGGCGGTACTTTTCAGGCTCCACATGGCGGAAACCAGATGCATAGCCACCCTTGAGAATCCTGTCCGGGGGATGGAGAAAAGAAATATAGAGAAGATGAGGAACTACGGTCGCATACTTCGGAGCATAGGGCCAACAGAACATCCCTGCCCGCGCCGCTCCCACACAAGAACGCACGGATTCTGTCCACAATGCCTGGTGAAAGTGTAGAGCATCGACTAAGACGCCCATAGCCTGCACCAACAGGCTCACCATATCCTCTTGATATGACTTATTAAACATGTCGCCTTATTAGTTGGCCGTAGGAAGATTGTCTTGGCTGCAGCCTTATTCCTCCAGCACGTGAGTTGCGTTCAGTCGGAACGCTGCCGTCCAGTAAACCATGGTAAAAGACTAAGGTTAAACAGTCCTAACTGACAGATGACAAGTGTCGTGCTTAAAATGTAGTTGTTAAATTATAAAAAAATGTCGGAGGACAACAAGACTGTTCAAACGCGCAGAACGAGGAAACCTGGGATTATATAAGTGGTCTGTGGGACATTGATAGACAGAAAATGAGCAGAGAAGACAGCTCGCTGATCGGAATGACGAAGGTGAAAAAAAATCTGTAGCAAGACCTACGCCACAAAGTGTACGGGTTTTCAGTGCCATAGAACCCATACCGACGTTGTTTGAACAAAGAAAGTGCATGATCAGGATGCCTTATTCATGCTTAACATCCAGAAGACGACGATTGAACGATGCTTGAGGCATGCTCCTGTGTGGACGCGAATTACGTGAACGGAGGAATTACTCTGCACACTGCCACACTGGGAAGGAAGACTTGGTGTTTGGAGGACAGACAGTAAATCATCAATCATTCAACTTACAGGGTGGCAATGATTCTGTTCTGAATGACCGAGGAGGGATTTAAGCATTTTAGACAAGAGCGTAACTGGTGGAGAGAATACTGTGATATGCTGGGATCCAATCGGTTTCCGTAGACGGTTGATGTGGTCTACTGGCGATAACACAGAGACGCATTACCAGTTCGCAGTGAATCATTTCGGGTTTATGCATAATATAAGTCCGGCTTGTTAATCAGGTTTAACCTAGCCGAAGGTAATTGAGAATTAAAGAGGCGTGGTTTTGTTCTACGTGCAAGTGTCGTGGGTGCACAGGTCTCGTTTCCGTTCCCTATTCCAGAAAAGAGTGACAGCACGAAGTGAGGTAGGCAGATGCGCCTTGACAGAGAGGTACGTCAAGATGGCGCGGCCCGTCGACTTCTATAGATAATATCAAGGAGGCGGCCTATTTTCGTGTTAATTATAATATCATGCGCGACTGTGAATCCCCCTTTAGGGACACGGGGACACTTCGTGGGAGGGGGAAACGTAAAGCGGAGTCAAGCCTAGGTAGGGAGAAACTAGCGAAGCAAATCTTACACTAATTTGTTGAAGTAGCCCTTGAAGCGCTCAGACTCGTAGCCCTCGACTTCCCGATGTTGGATAGCAGCGTCATCCAGATAGGTGTCCAGCTCCACAGTCTTGTAGGCCGCGGTGCCGTACTCGTCCTACGAAAAAACAAAACATAAGCAAGACTGAGTAAGTTGGCCTGAGTAATTTAGTGATGGTATTCAGTCTGGTGTTGGAGATCGTACCTGGGTGCTGTGTTTTCCGATCCAAAAGTGGACGTCGTAAAGCAGCTTCTCCTTATCCGGCAACTTGGTCCCCTTACAGACGACGTACGAGTCGCCGTTGTAGAAGGTTCCAACGTCTTCAGGTTTCACCTCTTCGAGTGTGAATTTCTGCGAAATGAATAAACATTTTTTGGAGGGAGTGAAATAAAGCATATCTAAGTCAGATCCAGCAAGACCAATAAGCCAAAGGCTACACCTAAGAGTCTGCATCAACCTGTAATTAGAGCTGTGTGCACATCAAACTGTCAAAGCAGAAAGTTCTCCGTAAACAAAACACTAATTTGAAGGCATGAAATCCGATACGTTGTAAATTACTTGAAAATAAAGGAAGCAAGCTGTAATACCTTGACACGCCATACGAAGAGAAAGGGTTCTTTGGCCTTTCCAACGCGTTCCCAGGCCTTTTCAGTGAGTGCAGACTCCTCTAAAAAAGGCAAAGGGGATGGTTAATGCGATTGCTCCCCTGCGGCCGAATAAGACGAAGTGTTTTCGGTAGAAACCAGAGCCTGTAAGTCTGGTGTTGTCTGTGGCGCTACCGGAGGGTCTTTTCGGACAACAGCAAAGTGACCCAGGGCCTAAGGTTTTCGGCTAAGGGCCCATAGTAAAAGCACTGTTTACGGCAACAGGACGGTAGGATACACTCTAAAAAGCGTGGTCAGTTATCCGTGCATACATTTGACGCATAACACAAAGCCACCCTTTGGGAAAGTATTTGCGCTATTATAAACAATGCTACAAGCTTACCCGCGTACCCAGAACTTGCACTATTAATCATCTACAGCCGAGGAAACCAATACTGTGACAAGGAAAGGAGCCTGAAATCTTCATATGTCCTAACGTATTCGTAGTAAATGTTTCGCTGTCAAAAATTTACCTATAGAGATTCAGTGCGGGGCCACAGACTGCGGCCTACATGGAGCAAAGCCCAGTTTTCAGGCCTCCAGGTTCTGGTTACG